TTGTTTATAGAGACTTGGAAATTTTACTTAAATTACAAACATTGGATAAAAGAAGGTGGAATGCAGACATTATGACCCTATATAGGGTTGTTCATGGTTCTATTGATTGCTCGTATATTTTGGCGAAACTTAATTTTCATGTGCCTCCTAGGACTTTGCGTGGACACAAAACTTTTGAAGTCAATCAACATCGTACTCGTTATGGCCAAAATGCGGCAATTGATAGAATGATGAAAAATTTTAATGAATTGCAAATGGAGTTACAAGTTGACTTATTTAGTGTATCCGAAATGAAACTAAAGAATTGTCTGAAACAACTGTGATATTATAGGTAAATTTTCAAAAAAAGCAGGGAAAAAATGTAAAGATGGGAATCTTAAATTTGGAAGTTGTATAGGTCTTTTTTATATTTTATATGTTTTATATTTTATATTTATTACTTTATATTTTTTTTTTTTTATATTTTGTTGGCAGATGTGATAGTCCAATTTGTAGATGTTTCATATAGTATATATTAAATTGTTTAATTGTTAGAATCAGCTTTAAAGCTGTAAAGTTGTAAAATGGTTTACCGTTAATAATAAATAAATAAATAATCAATTGACAGCGCACTTATGTTTTGTATAGTATCTTCTAATTTTGCATTATGCTTAGCAAAAGTGAGGATATTGTAGTTCTGGTGTTGAAATACCTTTAAGTGCTTGTAGAGGTCTGCAACTGAGCTATCACCCAAAATAAGAACCTGATGTTGTATAGATTCACATCTCTGGAGAGGATCTTCCAGGTCACTATTCACATGGCTATGTTTAAAAGATTCAATATTTTTCAAGTGTTTCACCTCTTTCATATACATGTTCCGCTCATTTTCCAAGACCTCTATGGTTGTTCTAAGTTCCGATTCAGTCTCCTTCATCTCCCTCAGTTCATTTTGTTGCAGTCTCAGCCAATCCTTGTGCTCTGTCAATTTACTTTCGCTGACAACATTTAAAGATTTTAGATCGTTTATTTCTTTAACATACATATCTTGAGCGTCGGACAAAGAAGTGATCCTATATTCGAAAGCTGATTTGGTGTTATTTAGAGCCATAATCTCATTTTCAAGTGTCTTAATTTTTGATATGTGGGTATTTAACTCTTCACTGAGGCTCTGATTGGTTTTGATTACATCAGCCAGCTCTAAGTTGACACGCTTTAACCCCAATTTTTGAAAATCTATCGTAGATAAATAGTTTTTTTCCGCCTCAAATACCTCATCATCCAGTGTTTGAGTGCGACTCTCGAGGCGTTTAATATGACTATCCTTCATTTCATTTTCCCTAGTCAGTCTATCAATTTCCTGCTTTAAGCTTGATTTTAAATCCACAATGTCTGTTTCAAGATTGCCGATATATTTCTCTTTTTGAACTAATTTATCACTGAGCTGATCATAGTGCTGAGAAAGGTTATTAATCTCCGGAAAACAGGCTTTGCACTCCATACAAAAGAAAAGGAGAGATTTGTTCTGCAATAAAAGCGCATCCGTTTCAGTGGTGGACAGGTTTCCACAGTCTTTGCATATAAAGCGTTTGCATCCATCACAGTTACATCCAAAGAGTTCACCGTCCTTGGAGTTAGGACGTCTTTTAAAAATGCAGCTGGTAAGACAAACCGCACAATTGAAAGCCATGTTTGCCGCAAAAGTTGGATTAAATTATATTAAACCAAATTTCAAAATTTAAAAAAAAAAAAAAAAAAAAAAAAAATTTAAAAAATTTAAAAAATTTAAAAAAGTTGCCTAATTCTTTTAGGTATCACCAGGTTCATTGACCCCCATGACATGCTTTAACATTAAATATGGTCCTGTCTAATATTTCCAAAATAAACAATATAAACAATAATACTCAAGGGGATTCCACATAAACACAATAAAACGTTCAGGAATTCCGCTGGTCACCAAAAAAGTAGTAAACAAACTCTTTAGCTGATAAGAATCCTTTGTGCTACAAGTAAACGATTAAACGATTTTCAGACAAAGTCTACACTAAATTTAAAACAAGTATTAATATTAACACTTTCACGCTTTTATTTTAACGTTTATGGCGTTTATTTTACCGCCACTGTATCATATACATTTTTACGAATACAGCAATACCAAAGAAGGATTAAATTGATCCAAATATACTTGAAAAACTTTGATAATAACGGAGCGAAATAAAAGTACGTATTTACACGCCGACGACCGTACTGGTCTCTGATGTATATCTATTCAAATTCCGATGTCCACAGGTACAGGTAAAATTTATCACCTTTCAATGCTATTTGATAGGGAAAGGTGATAAATTTACCTGTACCTTTGGACTATGGATTGTGAATAGGATATAGGTAGGTACCTGTATTTTTACCAAGATAGATTTTGACACTGTCAACTTTGAAACATAAATATACCGCTTATTGGTAGCAACATGTCATTTGCACGACATGCATGCTATTCACATAAAATGTAAAGAAAATAATTGCATGTTGGTACAGGTACAATGAATTTAAAACCTTTTTATCCCTGGTATAATTATTATGATGTGGTTTAGAAAATAAGTAAAACCCCCGATTGGAGAGATAACTAATATAGGCATCGTTACCTGAAATCGATAAAGTCAATTTACTAGAATAAATGCAATAATAAATAAAAAATAGTGAAATTTATACTCAGACGGCCCCCTGAAATATACTTAATACGTTTAATTTGACTTTCGTCGCCATCCGTGTTCAATTTATGGTGGCGCCACGCCACGGTTACAAATTTCGGTAAATAGTGCTTACGAAGCAGTCTAATTACTCAACTTTTGATAAACTTTTTGATATTTTTTTTGTTCCCTTCTAAAGAGGAAAAGTAGATCTATGTCTCTATAGGATTTTTTTTTCGAAAATGCTTCCGAAAATAGTCAAAATATTCACACAAAAAAACAGTTTTTTGATGATTTTTAAGCTCAGTTTCTGAGCTAATTTGGATTATTAAAAAAAAAGAAATTGTATAAAAACATGCCTTCACATTAGTAGATTAGGCTACAACAAGAATTATTTCAATACAACTTATGGTTAAGCAGTAATTAGACTGCTACGAAACCCTTTCCGACGCTTTGAATGCGGGCCGTTGGATCACCCTTAATTTCGGAAAAATACAAATCCAATTTTATCTTTGTAAACTTTTTTGATAGAGGACTGTAAACTTCATTATTTTAGTATTTTTGCCCTAGTTCAAAAACTAGAATAGAAACATATCACTTTCATAACATTATTAAATGCAGTATTTTAAAGCGAATCCGACGATATAATACACTCCGACATTTTTCTTAATTTTCGTTCAAATATTTTTGTTTTATTATGTAGGTAATTTTGTTTTTTTACTTAAAATTTAATTTGAAAACGAAATTTGGACAGAATTCGATTTAAAAGTAGTACATTAGGACGTAAAACGATCTGTAGAATCCAAAAAACAAATAATATACAGGGTGTGCCATTCGAAAATCGAAAGTTTCGGTAATTTCCGGTGAAACCGGAAGTCAGGAAAACTGGTCGTGGATGCATAAAAATGGCGTTTCGTTAGAATATCAAGCCTACCAAGTTTCGTTGATATCGATAAACGAGTAAAAAAATGGCAGCCGGACAGTAATCTCGTGGGCACCCGGTATTATAAGGTGGAGCTACATCTTGTTGTGACCATCACTGTGGCATGACTCGTAATGGTTCAATCTCCAACACACATTACATTACCCTTTATTTTATCAATATATTTTGTGACCAAAATTGTCTTTATGTCGATTAAACTGTTTATTTGTTGAAAAATTGCACTTGTCACTATAGATTATTTTGTTTGAAAAGTCAACAAAAGAAACAAAAAATCGAAATAAAATTGGGGCGCGTAAAAGACACGTGACCAACTTAGGACCGGTTTATCAGTGGACGGCTATCTAGTTTAGCTGTCGGTTAACCAATGATAATTATTAGTTAGCCAACAGCTAAACTAACATAACCGTCCATTGATAAACCGGTCCTTAGTCGGACTATTCCCCTAGAGGGAGGTATTTTTGAATACCTTCTTCAACTACGTAATAGTCTCTATCCCATATGTTAAATTGTTGATTTTTTATTGCTTGTTTCACTTGTTTGTTATTTGTTGGTATTTTTAATTTATTTCATTTGATACAAGAAATTAGTATCACATCTTTTAATTAAGATTTGCATGCGAATTGAAACTCGGAATCGTATTCAAAAATTATAGTAGTGATTTTGCCCGAGGATGAATATTTTCGGTCGAAACGCCGGAATTTCAAAACGTTTTATATATGATGTATTTCAGACTGCAGAAATAAAACAAATTATGTAAAAAAAATCCAGGTCCGTATTATAAAAAATTAGGTTGATGATGGCATTGGAAAACCAAAATGTCGATTTTCTGAAATGATACCACCACAGTAAAGTCCATACAAAAGTGCTTCAAGAAAGTTATCTTGATTTTCTTGATCTCTTAAAATAAAATCCAGAATCGCAATTTTCGGAATTTTCCGGATATTTCCGGAAGTATTGGGAATTTTCAAGTTTTAAAACGGTATTTTGTTAAGCTCCAAAATGTGCAACTTTGCCATAATTTAACCGAAACTGTATCTCTTATGGTTTCCGAGATACCAATTATGAGGCTCGAATTTGAGCCACCCTGTAGATTGTAGATTGTGGGGGAGTCGTTTCGGCTTTTCAGCTGCTCAGCACTGCTACCTTTGCAGATATTTTGAACGTTTTTTGAGCCACCCTGTACATACATATTCAATATTTTGAAATTTACAAAAAAAAAAAAAATACTTTGCAATAGAGGTAGATGGGTAGGCAATAGAATCATAATTTCTAGTTAAATTTAAACTTTTAATTGTTTATTTAATTGAAATGGGAGGATTCTACTCTATACTCTAGCCTAGAGATGAGGTAGAAAAATTAATGAAATCATTAATATGTATTTGTTTTATTTTTTTAAGGTTACAGAAACAGAACTGATTCTCCACCAAAAAGGCAAAAATCCTATTAAATGGCCTCTTAGATCTTTAAGAAAGTATGGATGGGATGTTGACACAGATGTATTTAGTATAGAATGTGGAAGGCGTAGTCCAACTGGACCTGGGTACTATGCTTTTAAGTGCAGAAAAGCAGAACAGTTGTTCAATATGGTTCAGCAGTATATTATAGGTAAGTAAATATCAAGGGATTTATTTATTTCATTCACAAAATCAGAATTTACTATGGAGTGCACATTTCATACCAAACTAAGGGCCGGTTTATTAGTGGATGAGAGCTAAACTAAATTACCGTCCACTGATAAACCAGTCTTTAGAGATGTTAGACATCGAATTAGACAATGAAAAATTGAATTTACTTCAAAAAATATTGAATAATAAAAAGTTTTGTTTTTACAATGACTACAAGAATTTGTAAGCATTTTAATGTTTTAAAAGGCTTCCACTATATTCTGTGAAAACTTCATAACAAATAAATACATATTCTTTCAGTTATCATTGAGGTAATTATTGATAATTTAAATGATAAACACACACAGCGCATAATCTAGTGGGCTCGAAACAAGGCTTAACACATTAATCAGATAAATTCAAACAATCAGCAACAGGAAATTATATACCTACAACACATAACAAATAATGGATCATAAACGGGAGTACAAATTGTTCTTCTACTTCCTTTGCTTCTTCAATTCAAAACCTACAAATTAAGGACACCAAAGATAGTCAAGAATCGGTTGATCCCACAAAAATTTGTTCACTCTTCAATGATTTTTTCATAGATTCTGTAGCCTCTCTAAGTCAAACTCTAGCATCATATAAAAACTCACTTCATATACTGGAAAAAGTCCCCTTTCCGTTTCAATTAAGCCCCATTAGTATCCCCGAAATGATAAACATAATATTATCTGTTACGCAGAAAAAAGCCATGGTCCAGATGAGGTCCCATGCAGTCTTAAAGTAAATCGTAAGTCTGATTGCGCCTTCTTTGACAGATATGGTTGGCATGTTCTTTTCAGAGGGTACATACCCAAGAGCTCTCAAGGTAGCGTGTACCATTCTCATTTTTAAAAAAGGGGATACATCAAACTTTTCAAATTATAGACTAATATCCAATCTATCTGTGTTTGCCAAAATTTTTGACAAAGCCATGAAAATTCAACAAGAAGCATATTTTATAGAAAAAAATTTACTTTCATCTACCCAACGTGGCTTCTGTAAAGTCAAAAAAACAACAACATGAACAACAGCCCTTTTTGAAATTATAAATAGAATACACCGAGACCTGCATGAGAGTTTACAAACCACTGGCATTTACTACGACATGTCTAAAGCATTTGACATGGTAGACTTTGAACTGCTTTCCGAAAAGCTGGACTCCTATGGAGTGGAGGGAGCTGTCCTAAGCTGGCTCAAGAGTCGTTTAACAGATAGAGAACAATATGTCGAAATACTTGACAAAAATAGCGGAAAAGTCGAATCACTAAGAAAAAAAAATTCCCAAGGTGTTCTGCAGGGTGGATTTTTGTCTCCACTTGTCTTCAGCAATGATTTGCGGGCCTTCTCCGGGAAAAAATAGGAGAAGAACATCATCTCAATAACTGTTGGCTGTAAGGATATAGTTGAGCTATCAAGACAATGCACAAGGGCGTCAGAATCTCTAAATCTTTGGTGCACACAAATCAAACTAATTCTGAATTCTAACAAAACTAAGATAAACTATAAAAACTCCAGAAATAAAAACTATAAAATTGAAAGTGTCTACTCTAAAATCAACAATAAAAGCCTGCCTGTTGAGGAAAGTGTGAAGGTCTTGGGAGTTTGTTTTGATTGCCATCTTTCCTGGAAAATTCACATTGAAAATGTAGCCTCAAAACTTCAGAGTGGGCATTTTGCAGTCATGAATCTAAAGGGGATTGTCGGTCCAAACCTTATGACGTTCTATCACGCGAAAATAAATAGTCATTCGCAGTATGGAATTGTTCTCTGGGGCTTATCGGCATACACTGAAAGGCTACTAATCCTTCAGAAGAGAATAATTGTAAGAAAAATTGCTGGGGTAGATTTCTTAGCTCAGTGCTATTTGTAGATCTAAAAATAATGATTGACATTTCATTTCCCTGGTTCATTATGTAGAAAAGATTTTAGGTTATGGGAAAAGGAGACAAAGACCACTTATTTTCTGGCGACGTTAAAGATAATGACAGTGTACTCACTATACCTATATTGCTTATCAGTATTTGTGCATAAACACCAAACAGTACTTTACAACAAATGCAGGTATCAATAGTGCTATGCAGACGAGGAATCAAAACCTCCTGAGTGTGCCAAAGCAACTGCACTATTTGAAAAATCCCCTTTTTATATGGGTATCAAAGTCTTTAATAAACTTCCAAAGGAATTTCAGAGCTTAACATCAGAGAGTGTTTTCAAAAATGAAGCATAGGAGTATTTTATAGATAAACCACTATACTCAATAAGAGAGTTTTTTGCCAGTTAGTTTCATCCGGGTTGTGAGTCTGATGAAGTAAATAAAAAATTAAACTTATACATTTTAATATCTCATTTGTTTGTTTGTAACTTAAAATGTTTTATAATGTTTGCAACTTTTGTTTGAAATTTATGTATATTTGACATTATGCAATGCTTTTTGTAAAAAGCCCAATGGAAATAAATAAAATTGAATTGAACTGAATTGATTGTTATTATAAATATTTAAGAACAGTGAGAATTTTGATGTAGGTAATGTGTTATCTTGAGCTTCAAGTCAATTTTCGGTCTTCAAGTGAAGAAAGAGTCAAACATGATTGTAGCTCCAAGCAGCTCATTCCTTTTCCTGTTGAATTCGTTGCAGCTTGGAGTTGCATTGGAGTCTCTAGTAGTTCCTGTGGAAAACTGAGCATTTAACATAAAAAATAAGCACATAATTTTGTGTTTAAACAGAGAATAACATAGAAAATATATTTTTTTCATGATGGTGTTGACTTGCTGTTTGTTTCGAAATGTTTTGTTGTAATCTCATTGTTGCAGTATCATCTTTGTTTTTTTTGTTCGTAAGTGTATAGCTTCAAGTAATCTTTTTTATATAAGGTGGAGTTCAGGAACATATACATCACCCGAATGTTGACAATACAAATCAGAACATCGATTTTTCCGTCATTGGTGGACCTATGGGACCTCCTGTACAAAGACGGCTAGATGCACAAGCAACTGGAGTAGATTCAGGACATCTTAACCCTGTTCAATCTATGTCTAGGTAATAATATAGAAAAATTGCCTTCATTTTTCTGTATTACGAAAATTTTATTCCATTTATGTAGGTCTCACACAAGTGGTTTCAGTCGACCAGGATCAATTTCGAGGTAAGTTTCACATATTATTCATTTAAACAATTTCTTTGTTGACAACCACATTTTTTTCCCAGTAATGGAGGTCAACTTAGTCCAACAACAATATCCCCTCCACCAATTATAGCTGTTCCCTCAGTGGAACACAACAACAACAAACGAAGCAGCTCAATAATCGAAAATGGTATTGGACCTCCAAACTATGCAAACTTAGGGCCTGACACAGGTAAGTAAATTTAACGAGTTTTAATTTACCTATTTATTTCATATGTTACATTACATTCCAGATTCTACTTGCCATGTATATATGAATGTTGATACCAAAGAAATTGTGAATAGCCTAAGCCAAAATAATTTTATAGAAAATAGAGAATACCAAAGAGAAGTTAGTGAGGAAGTGCACTGTTATGCCAATGTTGATACCAGGGATGTGGATAGTTTACAACTTTTGCAGGTAAACATTTTCACTGACGTCAGTGAACTCAATTCTGTACCAGGGGAAAAATCACAAAATTTAACTTGTGGCTGACTTTTCAATTTGTGACCTCCATTACTACTGAGCTCCAAATTCTAAGCTTTTATATATTTTTTCCTGATATAAATTTCATTAGCGCACTTCTACAGGCCTGTCATGGCTAGTACTTCATGTCTTAAGGCAACTTCAACAATATGCTTTGTCAACTGACATAGATGGAAAGTGAAAATCTACTGTATAGCTTCTTGTCCCTTGTAAATAATTCCCAAACCATTCCAAGGCCTTCTATTGAAATCCAGGCTGCTTTCTCTGACCACCTAATGAAGATTATGAAATTATTGAAATTCAGTAATGAGGGATTAATTATTACTTCATAATTTCTTTATCATTTTCTTTTTTTTTTTGCACCTGTTTTAGTATCATTATTGCAATTATTGTTCCATTCATAGATTTAATAGTGATGGGCAATTGCACCATGTATTTGTGTATTAAGCTGGAGGAGTAGCCTCTCCAGTACTACACTCCTGGACATAAAAAACCGGACAAACAAAATTTTGTTAAATTTCAATCCTAAATAATTTTTTCAATTTTGCATCGAAATTGATAAATTTTTGTCAAATGGTAGGCGCGTTTATCTTGATCATTATTTAATATTGTATTTGCAAAAAGCTCGAATGGATTGGATGTTATACAGGATGGAACCATAAGTTGCATTTGGTCTTAAACTTCTGAAAACTCTTTGGAATAATTCAACGACACAATCATGTGTATTTGCAGGACATTCTTAAGTGTTATCATTTCTTAACATGTCTTTTTTTAATTCATATCAATATCTTCAATCTCAAAGGAAGCACAAGTTTTTAGAGTAGCAATACAATTTATACCAATAACAAAAATTAAAAACATTACAGATAACTTTAACAAATAAACAAACACTAATATTGGGTATTACCTCCACGTGCTCTAATAACTGCTGCTATGAGACGTGGTAATCTCTCAATACAATTGGCAATAGCCTTTTGCGAAATGTTTTCCCACTTTTCGAGACGAGCTCTTCGAAGATTTAGAATGGTTTCCGGTTGTCGACTGCGAATTAGCCTCCCTAACATGTCCCACACATGCTCAATCGGGTTCAGATCAGGACTACGTGGAGGCCAGTCCAATCGCTGAATGCCTGCTTCATTAAACTGTTGCTGAAAAATTTTCACCAACAAATGGAGCAAAAATAATAACGTGAACCGCTAAACATTCCTCAATATAACGGTTAGCAGTTAAAGCGTCATTTTCGATAAAAACCAGGGCAGTACGGGCGTGAGGTGTAATTCCAGCCCACACCATGATACTACCGGCTCCAAAAGGTGTTCTTCGAGAAAATGGAGAAATGCAACAGTCGGAAAATCGTTCTCCCCGTCTTCACCATACATGCTCTCGTCCATCGGGTGAACGCAAACAGAAGCGCGATTCGTCAGTGAATAACACACATCCCCACTCTTCGTCATTTCAGTCTCTCTATGGACACAGGCAAAATTTAACCGATGGGCTGCTTGTAAAGCTGGACAAGCAGCCGGTCTTCTTGAAATCAATCCTTGTTCATGTAATCTACGGCGAACGGTTCATCCAGAAACTCTTGTGCCACATACATTTTCAAGTCGATGACTTATAACAGCAGATGTTACTCCTCGTTCCCATAAAGCAGTTAGAGTAATAAAATGATCATCTCGCTGGTTTGTGACGCGGGGTCTCCCAGATCCTGGACGTCGTGTGTACTCACCAGTCTGACGAAAGCCGACTAATTGCATCTTGCACAGTGCTTTTGATTCTGCCCAAGACATTAGCGATGTAGCGTATATCACGGCCATTATCATTCAAGGCAACAACTCGGGCAACAAAAATTCAACCTCTGAATAAAGATACACTGACACTTATGATAAAGAAACAAACGAAAATAAACACTTCTTAAGTGTATTTTTTTCTCAAGATGGATTTTGACATTGAAAACTTTGGAAGGTAAACAATACCGCTGTTGCATTTCTCCAAGAACACCTTTTAAGGCCGGTAGTATCATGGTGTTGGCTGGAATTACACCTCACGCCTGCACTGCCCTGGTTTTTATCGAAAATGGCGCTTTGACTGCTAACCGTTATATTGAGGAATGTTTAGCGGTCCACGTTATTCCTTTTGCTCCATTTGTTGTTTGTTGGTGAAAATTTGATGCACGACAATGCCAGGCCGCATGTCGCAAGATAGGTCAGTGATTATCTTGATGAAGCTGGGATTCAACGATTGAACTGGCCTTCACGTAGCCCTGATCTGAACCCGATTGAGCATGTGTGGGACATGTTAGGGAGGCTAATTCGCAGTCGAGAAATGGAAACCATTCCAGATCTTCGAAGAGCTCGTCTCGAAGAGTGGGAAAACATTCCGCAAAGGGCTATTGCCAATTGTATTGAGAGATTACCACGTCGCATGGCAGCAGTTATTAGAGCATGTGGAGGTAATACCCAATATTAGTGTTTGTTTATTTGTTAAAGTTATCTGTGATGTTTTCAATTTTTGTTATTGGTATAAATTGCATTGCTACTCTAAAAACTTGTGCTTCCTTTAAGATTGAAGATATTGATATGAATTAAAAAAAGACATGTTAAGAAATGATAACGCTTAAGAATGTCCTGCAAATACGCATGATTGTGTCGTTGAATTATTTCACAGAGTGTTCAGAAGTTTGGGATTAAATGCAACTTATGGTTCCATCCTGTATAACACCAAATCCATTCGAACATTTTGCAAACACAATATTAAATAATGATCAAGATAAACGCGTCTACCATTTGACAAAAAATTATCAATTTCGATGCAAAATTGAAAAAGTTATTTCGGATTGAAATTTAACAAAATTTTGTTTGTCCGGTTTTTTATGTCCAGGAGTGTATATAAGATTTCTTACACCATTAGGTACCTTTTCTCAATTTATTTAATTTTTAGCAGCAGCATAGTAACATTTTGATACCAAATAATAGCGAGATAGTGCAAATGTATATGAGCAACAGTGTACCTTGCACACCTACAGCTTATAATGAGACAGACTACATGATTGTACGGGAAGTAAATTATGCCGAACTTGATTTAGATTCAGCAAAAAATAATAATGGAAACTACCTAAACGAAAAAACGGGTAATTTTTTGTTTTACAATTTGTAGTAGTTGGTAGTCTTTTAATTTGTTTGCTTTTGCTTCTCTGTAACTGCATTAAGTATGGCTAAGATTTCAAAAAAATCACCACTAGTAAAAACGTTTAGCAAAAGTTAGATGTGTGTGTGTGACATTTTTTATTGAACAAAGTATAGTATAATATGCGACAGGGTGCATTGAAGGATTAATAAAAATAAAAATTTCTACGACTGTTTAGATTATACAATTTCTTTTTTAGGAACAACGATACCAAAACCTACCACAACCTTATTAGGTTCTGCACTTCAAGAGAGTACGAGTCTGCAAAAGAAAAGTTATGCAACTATTGATTTTCCAAAAACCATCGCACTAAGCCAAAGTATTAATCCCAAAGCCGAAATGGAAGAGGGAAGTAGAAAAACTAGACATAATTCTACAATTAACTCATTTAGTGACTAAATTTAATTCCAGTAGTGTATACATACATATAGACGAATGATTGGGAAAATATGAATGAAAAAAAAAAAGAAAATACATTCATAAAAAAATTTAATGGTTAAAAATTATAATATAGTTTGTATTTTTGAATTTTCTAGGAAAAATGTGCAGTTTGCATATCAAATTTATTGAACACACATAAATGAGCACGAAATGTATTCCAATTATTGTACAGGAAAATACTCTATATTAGGTTCTGATAAGGCAAATTATTTTTTATAAACATTAGAACAACAATTTAAGTTGAGTAACCTTGCCCTGTGAAAAGTTAAGTCATCAACCATGGCTCTAATAAACGTAATTTCCGAGTTGATATTAGAAACTACCAAAAATTAGAATATTCTCATACATTTTTCAAATCATATCTTTTTATTTTCACAATATTTTTTTTGCCCCGAATCTACAAAGAAATATTACATAAAATGCTAGATAGCCTATGTCAAAATTTGAACAGAACAATATTTTTGCATATTATGGAATGTTTTTCATATATAAAGGGGCGAATGTATACTGGATGACAACGAAATCGTTTTTAAGAGGTCGCCTTTAATTGCCTTTTAAGTGGGAAATTTAAAAGATGGGTTGAAGCCATAGCTGTGAAGCCAATATTGTAACTGGCGAGTTGAAAAGAAAAAAGTTAAGGATGCAAGAAGCTGTGTAACCTTGGTGACTTAAAAACTTATGTTTTTAGTTACAAGAGGTTGAAAATTAATTGCTTTATAATAATAAAGATGCGCGCTTTCAGTGGCCAACAGAGGATTAGTGAATGAACTGCATGGATTGTAAACCATGTGCGCTGCAAAATCGATAAAATTATATAAACATCTATTTTTCGATATGACATATCCGTCCAAAAAATGAAACTGCTGTTTTCACCATTTTTTTTCATGTGTTTTAAAGGAAAAATATTTCTACTTCTGACACTATTTTTGATGCATAAAGATCTGGGTAGAGATAACCAATAGAATAACAAATTATTTTATATTTTTCAATGTAAGTAGGTACATAATTTCCAATTTCTCTAGGACTCTTGATGATTTATAAAATATGACATATTATGCAATAGCTCGAATGCCACCTAATCTTGTCACCACTCTTTCATGTGTTTATTTGGGGTCGTATTTTCGAATAATCTCGCCTACGAAATTTGATATGATTTCGAATGCTCCCCATTTAATATACATTGCTGTCAATCAAATTTCGTGTACGAAATGTATTCGAATGAATTCGAAAATACGACCCCTGATATTTGAGCATTCAATTGACTGTAGGTTCACAATTAAGCCCTGTAGTATACAATACAAGTTTGCACTGGAAAAGCTTAATGAGCATCTAATAGTAAAAGGCTACATTTTGTCATTATATCAATTAGCTTCTGTCAAAATTTAGTCCAAAAATTGAAAACTATTGGTTATGGAGATGAAAGTTACAGTAAAAATTCCTCATTGAAAGTATATACAGTAGGATGCATTTGTGATGAGGTATCACCCTGTGAAAATCATTACTTGCGCTATTTAAATCTTTTTTTTTTGAAGAGTCAAAGTCAAGTCAAGATCTAACTCTACAAACGCGTTTCGGTGTTCTTGCACCTCCTCAGTAGAATCCAGATTGAAAACCAGAACCAGTATTTGTTTCTTTTGTAGAGATCGAAAAACTGTACCTATTTCAAATGCAAATAATGCTATATTTCTATAAAAGCCGAGGCCTACAGCGTCATGTTTTATAAGTAAAATTTTAAAAATTCAATTAGTGTTTTTTTTTTGAAAAATCTGTTCACGCCCCTGGATTTCCCTAACGCACAAGTCGTGAGATAATGACGCCCGTTGATGTAAAGAATATAAACTAGAGGTGAAACGGATATCCGGAGATTATCCGTTATCCGGCCTAAATTTAATATTCGGCCGGATGCCGGACAGTAGCTTAATATCTGGCTGGATACCAAATATTCAAAAACAATGCCCTAACATCAACTTTAATACATGAATATTAGTGTGGTAAATAATAACAAAATGGCCTATAATTATGACTGCTTTTATTTAAAGATGTAAAACGTCGTGAAGAACAAAAAAGAACCTTCTAAAAAAACTGAAATTACCTTAATTTTTAATACTCAAAATTAACAAGTAGGTAGTGGTAAATTACGGTGAATAAAGACCAAATTTTCAGAGTTTGCAGGCAACAGGCGATTTCACTTGTTTTCGTACACCGGATATTCGGCTATCCGTTTCATCTCTAATATAAACTCGCATATTAATAAGAACGCTTTATAAAGTTGCAAATCGAAGAGAATGAAAAATTTCAGCTAATGAACGATGTTAGCATATTGTTATTATATTGTCTTACTAAACTGATCTCAATTGATTTGAAATAAAAAATCTAAAATCAAACCAATCCACAGTAAAGTATTTTTGCTGTTGCATAATATGCTACATTTTGCTCAGAGATAATCAAATTGTTCCAAAGGCATTCTTATATTATCCTTATTTCTTATAGATTGATTACCTACCCTGCGCGAATCGTTTCAGAAAAAAAAATATGTATGGCCAACATTCTGTTTTATCCCATGTAACCCCTCCATTGATAATATAGCCACTTTACGATACCAAAGTTCTAAGGTTTGGACTGTCTGGACAGTCGCTGCAGTCTGCAGTACCCCACAAAGCATGAATTTCGTCAGCAGAATATGACTAGCATTATGATTATTTAGAGGTATTCGATAGCTTTCTAAGTCGCATGTTAATCGCCAAAATTACTTTTTTTTTATTATTTTTATCTGTGATATTTGAGCTTTGTTATCTAAATATTTTGCCCCAACTTTCTGCACAATTCGGAAATGAAAAGTGTTCTATTATTGATGTTATTGAATACATTTTTCATTAATTTTTTTTTTTTTAGTTTTTGGGAGTTTGAAGACAGATTGTTGTTTTCCAAACGATATAGGTAGCTGATTTTTTGTATCTAATAAATTTCAAGCTAAGCTATGAAATTTCAAAATCTCAATTTTTCGAAAAACTGATAAAGTAATGGTTAGTAGTAACTGTAGCTGATGATGCAATTTGATATTCAACTACAGTAGAACTGGGGCTATATTGAACGCTTGGTTTTAACAAAAAAAAACGAGGTTCGTATAAACACGTGTTTCTGTGACTGGATATAAAGAACAAATGATCGCTTTTGACTTAGTATTCTATGGGACAAGACGGAGGAAACAGCTGGTCGGATCGGATATTGCGAACAATTATGCGCAGGATCGACTATCCTGGTCAATTATTTAACAGTGATATCAAGCCACCATGTCAATCCATGGATCAAAATTAATTTAATTTAAATCATTTTGTAACAATTGATAATAGTGCAGTAACCACTGAACTGAGCCTCTAACTCTGAGATACCTTCTATTGCTGGAACAGGGTCGGTGATACGAAAAAACTACAAGAGAACAAAAAGTTTCTGAATAAGGTAGAAAAAAGTATCACCCTGTAGATTCTGGCAAACGTTTGCATTTGCAAATCATTTAGCTCCTATTGCATAACCTATATACCTACCAAATTTAAGCTAAATCCCTCAAAAATTGCAGGAGCTATAAAGAAAAAACTAAAAAAATATTGAAATTTCAACACCCTATAGACTGTAGATCGGTAACGGAGCGTTTGCGGACCTAAAGTTTGTTTCACGAGGGTTTGTACTTACGTCATCATTTGCCTTTCTTCTTTAACAAATAAAAATTGACTGAAATAAATTAATGACGTCATTAACATTCGTCGGTTCTTAAAACTATACCCCGTATTCTCGTAACCGGGAAAAAGCGTCCTCAAGAGAACGATCGCTCTGTCTTTGTCAGTATTATGGAAATAACAACATGGATAAGACAGAGCAATCGTTCTTTTGAGAACGCTGATCCCCGGTTACGAGAATGGGCCCAGAAGTCATTCATTAAATTTGTCAAAAAAATTGGTTGTGTCAAAACACGCGTAAATTTAAAAAAATCTTACATTTGGGATTAAAATTACTATTTCGGTCCCGCTGTATATAATACGCAGTTAATGGATTTATATATAGGGTTATCCAAGTTCACCTTGATAAAATAAATTTAAAAAAAAAAAGACACTAAAGATTGAGATTGCGATAAAGTTTTTATGGCATTATTAAGTGTGATTATTGCCAATATGTGTGAATTATAATATCATTTGAATATCCTCCACGGGACCTCCTGCAGGACTCAGTCCTGTTGAGGTTATTTTGGCAACTTTTTGGCACATTTCAGGCATATCCCGGTCATAGCTTGACGAATATTGTTTTTCAACGAGTCAATCGTTGGAAGGTTGTTGGCATAAACACGATCTTTCACATATTCTCACATGAAGAAGTCCAACGGTGTTAGATCACAGGACCGTGTGATGTCAATTCACATCAGCCAACCTCAAAATTACTCGTCCTGGAAACTTTTCTTTTAACAAAGCCCGATTATCTCGTGTTGTGTGATTTGTGGTCCCGTCTGTGGTGGTAAAACGTTCCATATTCTAGAATGGCATCCATCCAACTAAACAACTACCTGTTTTGTTAACATGTGTTCTTGACCGCTATCAAATGTCACCCGTGTACTTTCTCAAGCACAAAATGGATAACCCTATATTTTCGGATCACTAAATGAACTCCATTCTAAGTTAAAAAATTTATTACAAAACAATAATAATTTCGAAGGTGCTCTATGAATTAATCTACGACAAACCCTTTTTTTCCAAGTTATGACGTCATCGATGACGTAAGTAGAAACCTTCGTGCGACGAACTATATATGTTTATTCGAAATTTCAGACTTAAAAAAACGTATTTGTTGAAAAAGGAAGGCAAATGATGGGGTAAGTACAAACCCTCGTGAAACAAACTTTTTGAGTGCGTCATTTCCTTTCCATCAAACCACACCAAAAAAAAAATGGTACTATTCCACTCCTCAAAGGACCCCGCAATATTTAAATGGAAATTGGTTACCCGTGATTTTTGGATGAAATTTAAATATGTTATTGGGGATGCCGTAAGCAACATTTTTTACCATGGGCACAACCCTGTATATATGACAGGTATGGCGTGGTTAGCTGTCAAATATTGGAATCTTATATCCAAAAGCAGAGTAACTATGGCAGATTTTGATGAACAAAAAAGCTATTTCTACTAAGTCGACCAAGTTAAGTCGAAAAATGCCAACCATTTTGATACCTGTCAAAACCCTGTCAAACGGCAGCACTCATCTTTTCCATTTTTCAATATTTTATGATGTCATTTGACATTTTTAACTTGTATGTGAATTCCGAATTCAAAAATTGAGAAAAAATAATGACAGAACTGTCAAAACCTGTCATTTGTTTTAGTAGAAAAAAAAACCTCTATTCTGGTTCTTACTCGTTTTAAGGTAGTTTATTGGTGATAAAACATTAAGCAAACTCAATATAAACCAAAAAAATATTAACAGATTCTGACAGTTGTCAAAATGTGACATGCATGAACTTTGTTTTATGTTTTATCACCAATAAACTACCTTGAAACAAAAAAGAACCAGATTAGAGTATTTTTTTCTACTAAAACAAATGACAGGTTTTGACAGTTCTGTCATTTTTTTTTTTCAATTTTGGAATTCAGAATTTACATATAAGTTAAAAATGTCAATGACATCATAAAATATTGAAAACTGGAAAAGATGAGTGCTGCCGTTTGGCAGGGTTTTGACAGGTGTCAAAATGTTTGGCATTTTTCGACTTAACTTGGTCGACTTAGTAGAAATAGCTTTTTTGTTCATCAAAATCTGCCATAGTTACTCTGCTTTTGGATATAAGATTCCAATATTTGACAGCTAACCACGCCTCACCTGTCATATATACAGGGTTGTGCCCATGGTAAAAAATGTTGCTTACGGCATCCCCAATAGCATATTTAAATTTCATCCAAAAATCACGGGTAACCAATTTCCATTTAAATATTGCGGGGTCCTTTGGAGCCTTGAGTTGCGTCTATGATTATTCATAAAGAGAACAAGCATTTTATTGGAAAATAAATACACTTGTGCACAAAAAAGTTATCCAAGACTTAAAGATGCCTAACTAGTCTCGTTTTCTAATATTTTTAGTTTTGAAGTGCTAAGAAACGCAAAAAATTTACTGAACCTAAAATTTTAGAAAATATTGCTTTGTGCACGAAAAAATGTACGCTATATTATGCTCAGTGATTATACAAGTTGCTTTAATTTTCTGCCACTTCGAAAATTAAAATTTACTGTATAGGATAAGGATTCAGTAAACGAAAACCCTACCTAAAGTCTTTCATATTTTAAATGAAAAAAATATTTAGAATTTTTTTCAAAGTTCAAGTAGAGTGTAAAGAGTGGTTAGATAATGTACTGTAGTTATTACTGCGTGATTATATATTAATCTAGTTTAATTTGTTTCAGAAAGGAAAAGTTTTATCAATTGTAATTAGACTTAAGTTCCTAAAATGATCCTATTAGCTATCAGCAACTGAAAATATAGGCCAATACAATAAATGATCTGCGATCTGAATAATTCTGGTATAGTTTCAATTTTTCAAAATGTTTTTTTTTTATAAACTGATCCGCTGAGCTACCAAACCGTCGGTTTCCACTGTAGCAGATAGAAAAATTGATTTAATTTGACAATTTTTCTTTTCTATAATACTGACACATTGTCAGCTTATTAAGGCGCGTATTCATACAGCGAACGAAGGCGAAGAAATTGGCTCAAGTGAATTTGTTTGGCGTTTGCTACAAGCGAAAGGATGGTTCACATTCATTCCTTTATTTTCGCGGGTATAGGTATTTTGTTTTTAATAGTAATGCCGAGATTAAAGCTTAATAAAAAAAAATGGCGTCGCAGCAGGATGTATCTAATTATTGCAAGTTTAGCGTATATTACTATAAGTTAAGTATATCCGATAATAGGATTTCAAGGCCGAGGAGGAAAAAGCGATGGCGGATGACTTCCTTGTTCACTTCAAAAGTAGAAGTCATCACAGAAAAACAGACCCAATGAGTGATCTAACAGCTGAAATGTGTGCCATGGAATCTTTCAAAATTTTTGTAGAATGAACGCTACTGATTTTAAATGGTTATTAAATCAAATTGGTTCTGAAATTGCAAAACAAGATATATTACATCATGAAGAGAAGCAATACCGCCAACAGAAAGGTTAAAGGTTGTCGCTCACTGGAGCGCAGCGCACGGCAGCGCGGCGTAGAGGACTTTTTAAATACATTGTTTTAAATGGGAGTACGCTCACCTGTCGGAAGAGCACCGATCGGCATACTCCCAATGTATTATGAAAAGTCCTCTACGCCGCGCTTCCGTGCGCTGCGCTCCAGTGAGCGTCAGCCTTAATGGTTACTTTGCCATACCTTGATACAGGGGACTCATTCACAAGTTTGATTTACACCGAATACTGCTGTCAAGCTGTCAAGCAACGAATTCTTCCCAAATTTTCCCCTGTTGGGCGAACTACTCTAGCGAAGGCGAACAAACGCGTTTGGTCATGTTTGTTGTGATGTCTACATTAACTGAACGAATTTGTTCGGCCGCATCTATTCGCGTTCGTTCGGTGTATGAATACGCGCCATTAGGAAATTTACTTTTTCGACATTTTTTTTTCCAGAAATTGATATACCTATCAGCAAAGTTTTATACAGAAATTTGAAACAGTTGCACTTTCAACTTTCTTGCAGGTACCAAACTATGTATTTTTGGTATGACAGCTCTCAAAGTTTATCCAATTTCTTGTTTATAATTTATTCCCTATGGCATTGAAAAACGGCCAGAGTTACTCTTGAAATTCAAAACAGTCTCCATCATTACTGAATATACTGGGAAGTCTGTAAATATTTCAGAATGAAAATCACTTATTTTATTTTATAATTATTATGCTTTCCTGGCCTATGGTCTATCTTCTAAAACGCCAGTAAGTACTTACCTACTAGTGTTTGGGCGATTTTTATTTTTCTAAACAAAACGAGTTCTCGATCTACATATTTCCATTTTATTCCCTAACCAATTCAGTTTTTGCAAGACTAATATGATCATTTTAGGTGTTCAGTGTTGTCCCTATACAGGGTTTCTGTTTTTCGAGCAACCATTAGAATTACGGAAATGGTAACATATACAGGTTCGGTTAAACTTTGACAATTTCTTGCTCAACAAAATGTCATAATAGGGTACTACCAGATTTCCAGAGATATCCTCACAAAATTATGCAAAATCTTTTTTTTTTTTCAATTCTGAGCTTATTTGAAAAGATCTTTTAAAATAAATTTCATTCCATTGGAGCATCTTTTTCTTTTCTACACAATGGAGCAGTTGAAATCCAATCTTTCGTCTTTGGTCGATCATCATCAACTTTGCTTTGTTGCTTGTTTTTTTTTAATACTGACCTTTTAACATAAATCAATGGAAAAAGGTGGCCCTGATAAAGTGAAGTTTATTTTTAAATATTTTTTCTTGAGCCCAGGAAATACTGAGAACGATCTGGCAAAATGGAAATTTTGGAATGCTTCAAATTTCGAATCCGCATTTTGTTAGGCAAAGAATTACGCAAATTTGCCCCCGAATAACGGACACCCTACTATATAGGAATTAAGAAAAAGTATCTCGGCCTATTTAAACAAGCCCTTAGAATATAGTTAGTGTATAATAAAGGCAACTAGTTACTATTACAATATTCAAGGCAATAGTAAAAAATGGAGGTGTTTATCAATATAAGAACTATAAAAATCCAAGTATTTTTATGAAAAAGCTTTAAATAAATGTCTGTTTTTCACCTCTCCATTGAAATGATAAATATAATGGTGCCTAAATAACTCTACAAAGAAGCCAAACACGAAAACTTGTTTTAGGTATATATTTGTAAAAAAATTACTTTATCCCCATTAGTGTACCAAAGTAAAAAGAGTGTCCATGTTATGCCAAAAATTAGATTAGACAGTTGATATAGTAGTGCCCTTATAGTTATAGAGTAATTTATTTTAAGCAGAGCTGTAAAAAAATGTAATAATTTTTAAATAAAGATACTTTTTTTACAAAATTGTTACTAATTTTTAGGAAATTGATAGAAATACAATAGAAAATCAAATTAATTATCTTTTCACCATTACCTAAATATTAGAATAGCACGTAGCAAATTAGGAAGGTACTCGGCAAATTAGGTCTAACCATTATTTGATCTCCACTATATGTATACCAAGTACCTATATAGGACAGCCAGCTACAACATGTTCATGTGTGTCGTGCGTTCGGTTGGAATTTGCCTTACTACAACAGCAGATTCCTTACAAGTGATTGAAAACTTCAGAATGATGAGTTTAGCTAGAAATAGACTAACTTGCCTTCAATAATATTAATCCTATGTTTCTATACAATAAAATTGCCCTGTCAATAGATTCAAATGCCCATCAGGCAAGATTTAGCAAACCAGCAACAAGTATTGCTTGCTGTCCGCATCAACTTTTATTTGACGGAAAGCAGATCAAGCATCATAATACTTGAATAAAATAAAATGTAAAAAAAAAGTTTTTTCCCCTCGCGTAGTCAGAATCAATTATTTGCAATAGGTATTTCTTTTTTAAAACTCATTTTATCCTATTCCATATCACCTTCCTCAAGAATTGGGATATCAAATGAAATGCAAGAATTATTTTTCAAATCCGACTGATATTACCAGAGATGAGCGTGTTCAAACAAAAAAACAAACTCTTCCATATTTGCCTTTCTTTACATTAGGTTTCCTATCAATTTTGAGTGAAACAATCGAATAATCGACTCCTATAATTTTGTGAGTGAGATTTCGATCGATTTGCAAATTTCCATCGAGTGATCGAGTTTCGTGCTCCAACACCGCTATTATCACCCGAGAAATCAGCAATCAAGACCCTCACACAGGAAGCTGCAATGCTGTTGGTCCTGGAATACATCCTGGGCAGTAACCTTCAAGAAATTTGAATTTATTTCCGCCAACAAATCTTCCGCAGGAACCGGTTGGTTTCGTATGGATCTTGGACAGCCACCTTCCAGAAACTTGAGTGTATTTTTGCTCCCAAATCTTACACAGGAAGCCGAAAACGCTGTTGGTTCTTGTATTATGTCGTAGGCATAATGCAAATTTAGGCTTTTTATAAACTGCCTAGGCCATATTTTTAGGCATTTTACAATTTGCCAAAAACGGTGCCGTCAAAACGTGAATAGATATAAAACAAGTCGACTTTTTTCGATTGAATATATTACATTAGGTATAATAATAATCCTTTATTTAGCACATGGCTAGTAGGTACATAAAAAACCAACAAAAAATACACATGCAAATTCTTACATATCTATAAGATCTCCTCACAACTAATTTATTGCTAATTTCGCACAAAGGAAAGAATAAACAATAAATAAAGTGTATACTCCCTACTAGTTAAAAATCGCTAGCAGAAAATTACAAAACAAAAATATGAAAAAAATAGTCAACCATGTCATTCACACTGCAAGTGACTCAATCTATTTTTGAAAATGTGCAGACTACCTGCGCTCTTTATGCAACTGTCCGATGAATTAATGGCAATTAACCCCTCATGATAGACTGCCCTTTCTGGACAACTTTTATTTTTCCTTTGAACATAAAAATTATCCTTATTTCATGAATTATATTGTTAGTGACGAGTCTATCAGTCAGTTGCTCCACCAATTCGACTTTATTCTGTTCAATAAATATGTGAAAATCACCTGCCCTGATTTCCCGATCAACATAAATTTTGACTTGCTGTTATTCAACTTGAGTGAATTTGAATCGAACCACTTATTTAATTCGTTCATATCCAAATTAATTTTATCAACCAAACATTGCAAATCTTTTGAATAAAAGTATATGAGTGTATCATCTGCAAACAAATGAACCGATCAGTATTTTATGGCCACCCTAATGTCATTAATATACAAAAGGAACAGCAAGGGTCCCAAAACGCATGTTGTTTTATTCAACTGTTGAAGCAACGTTGGCAGCGTTGAGCATCTAAGCGTTGTTAAATTCAACAAAAGAACAGTCGATGCTCCATCATAAGCGCTGTTTTTTCCATCGGTGTTTTACGATGGCTACACCGTTGGAGCCACCAAGCCAACGATGTAAGGAGATGGTTTTTAGCAGTGTTGACTGTTTTATGGTATTCAGATTTCAAGTAGGGATTAGATTGAAGTTGAATAGAATAAAAAGTTTTTAATTATACCTACCAACCAAGTGGAGGTCACATTGACTTATGAAAACTTTGAATTTTCTTCGTTTGTGTCTGAACGTTTATCAAAAGTTTCCTGCCCGTTTTTTTATCCATCAACTCACCGGCACAACAACAAGCCAACAGAAATTCTCTGATGACCAACAGCGAGACAACGTTGCCAACAGAACGGTGAATAAAACAACATGCGTAAAGTGCTTCTCTGCGGAACACTATTTTCATTCGAGAGGTCTGGAGACGTTTCTCCTTTTACTCTCGTATCCTGTTTTCTATTTTCCAAATAGTTCTTCAGTCACTCCACTTTAATGCATTCTGCACTATGCCATACTGCTTCAATTTATTTATCAGGATCTCCCTATTTATTGTCTCAAAGGCTCGTTTCAAGTCCAGGAACACAGCCCCAATCGCATAATTGTCATCCAAGAGATATTTCCATTCGTAAATTATATTCTGGATAGCAAACTCACAACTATGTTTCTTTCTGAAGGCTGATTGATTATCAATCAAGATATTATTATGGATAATAAAATCAAGCAACTGTCCATAAACCACCCTTTCTAATATTTTTTCTGTGGCAAGCAACATATATTTACTGTCTCAAATCCTTTGCCTCTATGGAGCCCTTGACTTTCTGAATTGAAATCCCTGTTGAGACCTTCAGTGTGAATGGAACCTGACAGCTCTCTAACGATGAACTCATAAGATTTAAAAGAGGATCTTTAATTGACCCTTATCTGGCAATGAAAAAACAATATCCTCCAATTCTTTCATGTCAATCAGCTTGAAAGTACCTACTTAATTGTTGCAGCTGATTCTGTTCGATTCCTTCCTCCGCAACTTCCACAGTTGAACCATCTACTCTATGACATCCCATCTTACTCACTATGATATTCACGCTCTTTTTAAATATTCAATAATGTTTCCTGAAATATTTGATACTTTGAATTTATATCATTATTTCTATAGTCCCAGCAAACCAGTTGCAATCTATTAATTTTATCAAAATTTATCTTTCCTCTTGTGCTAATAAATAAGTCGTCCTTCCATGTCCCTAGGCTGCGTATGTACCTGCACGATATAATGCTATCTGTATAAGTTGACTTACCTTTCAACCAATTAATACTGAAATCCCCCATAATCAGTACCACCCGATCGGTATCCATTATCCCTTCACACCATTGCTCAAAAAAACTCAAGAACTCTGCGTCACTTGCACTGGGTGCTGGGTGAATGATATAATACAGCCAGCAAATAATTCTTACCCCATATTTAACTCAACTGCAAGAAACCAGTAATTTTTCTGCCTATGCAATGTATTAACACTCCTAATCTTTATTCCGTTTCTAAAATATACAGCAACGCCGCCAGTACCTGTTTTCACTATTCATTCTTATAACATCATATCCTACAATTCCCAACTCAAAATCATTAAAATCCTTAGTAATCCAAGTTTCCGTTAAGCAGACTAAAAGGGGATTTGTGTTTAATATAAAATTATGAATCTCATCCAACTTTGAAGGAAGACTCTGCGAGTTAATTAATGTTGTTATTTTGTTATTTCTAAGACATGAATTTTGCGTGGAAAACCGTTGTTACTATTATTAACAAATACCCTGTTTTGACACTTGGCACAATTCACTCTTTCTCTGCCATTTTGAAATATTCTTCCCGTTAATTCCTTGACAATTATATATTTTCCCTCTGTCTTTAAATTCGATGACCCATTGTACACCATCCTGGATGAATCAATAATAGAATTAAAATGAATAAACTGTGCGAACTTACTTCCCAAACATAACTCATTATAAACAAATTTGTTATGCTCATTATTAAAATTATTAAGAAATATGTTATTATTCCATAAAGGCACTGTGTACATTAGTAAATTTGTATAATTTACAACTTCCCTAATTTTTCCTATTGCTTCAACATTGACTCTACTGCCCTTTATAATATCCACTGAACCACCCATAACAATTACAAAGTCTTTATTAGTGAAACCCTTTGTATCAATCAAAATACTAGCAACAACCTCATCCAGTAGCGCATTTGGTTTGATCTGTGATCTGACTACAAAATTATTGTTTACATATTTATCCAGAATGTCCCTAAAATGACTACCTATACTATCTCCTAATACTAAAACCCTATTTTTTTCTTTTGTATTGCTTTCCTCTAAACACTCCATTATAGATCTTGATTTCACCATTTCATTTTTCAACTCTCTCAGCTCCAGTTCATAAGATTTCCTCTCCGCTTCCAGTGTCTCATAGTAGTTAACATCTGCTCTCTCGTCTCCTTTAACACATTGGTTGCCACGTCATACATATATGGGTGACAGCGATGTTTGCAGGTGGGCCGCGTCACCCATATATTTGAGACATGGCCTGCAAGCATTACTCCGCGACAGGCCGCGTCATACAAATATAGGCGACGACCAGTGTACTTTCAATAGGGATTCTGAAAGGTGGCCTCCGAGAAACATTGTGATATACTTGGTTTTAGGAAATCTTTAAATTTACATATTCTACGGGCATTGGAAAAAAATGAAAGGGAAAAGTAGGAAAAAAAAAACATTTTTATTCAAAAACTGCCAAATACCATAATTCTAATGGCAAAACTTGAAGATCCTTCATGAACATCATCAAAAAAAATACTAATTGAAAGTGAAAAAAAAAATCCTTACATTTTCTACTGATAATGTAAAAAAAATAAATGATTTACAAACTTAAGGCAAATCAACGAGAATGTCAAATGTTTACGAATGTATTGCCTTGAAACAAGGAAGACCAAATAAATAATAATTGAAAGT